CGATATCACAGGCTACAGTCCATCAATATCGTCAGATTCCGGTAGATGATGTCCAGTTCGAATAAGCTCAAGTTTGGTAGTACGGTCGGTTCTAAGCTTCGCCATACAAGAGCATAGGTCCAATAAGTGGCACTATTCAATAAAGTATACAATGATGAGAAAGATACAATATGGCTACATACTATTCTCAGTACTTCATACAATTTTGTCATAGATGTACGTACATTATCCTGTGTAAAGTATAAACAGCTCGTGCTTCATTTTAAATGCTATAGTTAATATATAAATTACAATATAAATAATGTAAAAGTTACAAGAATGTTGTACTCACAATGGTCAATGACACTCTGTGCAGACGAGCCCCCGGAGCACAGCTTGCTGAGTCTGTACAAGTTTTCCTCCTATAAACGCTGCCTCCCAACAACACCGGGGTCATTTATGACACCCTACACGGTTTCCGCCAGAAATAGAGGAATTTATGTTCCTACAGTAACCTGGCCCCAGCTTATACCTGGACTGGCGTGTCACAGGTGCCCCGTGATAAACGTGTTGGCTCGTCTCTCAGCTTGCACACGGACGACTGAAAGCCCGTCCTGCTAGTGCGGCGTCTTGAGTCAGAGTGACGTGTCCTCCGACCACACCACGCAAACACAGCAAAGGAATTTTGAATAAATTAAATATAAGATACACCTGTTTCTGCATTCACAACATGCACCTGTATACCAATCTAATTTCAAGACTGATTCTCGCGTGACAAGTACATTATTATAATTTATTGGTTGTTACTCTCTTGGCCCGACTGCACTGTTTGTACTGTTCAGTTTATGTTCTTCGTAATGTAATACACGTTGTTAATATTTTGTCGTGAATTGTTCTATTATGTTTGTACTGTTCAGTTTATGTTCTTCGTAATGTAATACACGTTGTTAATATTTTGTCATGAATTGTTGTATTATGTTGTAGCAATGAAAACATATTAAAAATTGTGACCCATATCTGACGAAACACAATCTACTACAATCTCTGTTAAATACACCAAATACATACATTTATTAACATTGAAATAATTCGTTTTTGGTTGAAATGTTTAAAAGTAGACTCCCCAGAAACTGTTAGAGATTGTTATCAATACCAGTATACTCGGGCAAACCAGGGGTTAAATTGCTGGGCACTGTACGTCAAAAACTTGTTGAATAAATATGGCTTTGGTGAAGTATGGGTAAAACAACAGGTGGCTAACTATGACCTCTTCCTATATGAATTTAAACAACGAAGTTTTGATATTTCTGTGCAAGAATGGTTTACTAGCGTTGCAGGGTATCCCAAAATGCATACATACTGTAAATTTAAATGTAATATGACTTGTGAAAAGTATTTAGAATGTATTTCAAATGTTACTTATAGAAGGGCACTGTCTTGTTTTAGAATTTCTACACTGGAACTGAGGCTTTGTTCATTTTGTTCAAATCAAATTAAAAATGAATATCACATTCTTCTAATTTGCCCACAATATGCTAATCTTAGGCTAAAATTTATTCCACACTTTTATTTTTCTCCAGCAACAGAATGGAAATTTATTTCGTTAATTAATTCAAGTAATTCAAATACATTAGTAAATCTAGGCAAGTTTATTTTCTTTTCATTACAGAAACGCCGAAAACTTATGGAATGACTGTGGGAGGGTTTATTTATTTATTTATTTATTTATTTATTTATTTATTTATTTATTTATTTATTTATTTATTTATTTATTTATTTATTTATTTATTTATTTATTTATTTATTTATTTATTTTCAAGAATATTTAATATTGTACATGTAAGGCCCATGGCCTATAGTACAGAATAAAGATATATATTAATATATCTCTGTTAAATACCAACCTTACGTTTATGTATGTATGTAAGTAAGTGTACATGTACTATGTGTGGGCGCCATCAAGCGGCACGTTTTTTTTCGCTTGAAAACGCTCAATAAGTGGCGGCGGCAACAGGGGACAGAGGGGGCGGTCGCCACTCGAAAAAGATGAAACCCTTTGTGCCAACATAATTTGCCCCTCAAAATCCACGAAATAGCGTTTCAGAGGGTATAGATTTCATTTGTTTTAAGTGGGAGCATGCCCCGGACCCCCTAGTAAGGTCGCGAAGGTTGGTAAGCAAATCTCACCTCATGCACAATTTCGTGACGCCGCCTCTGTCTACGCATGCGCAGATTAACTCATATTCTCAAAGACAAACGTCCAGGCATTCTCACTTCTTGGCAACAATTACCGGTAAAAGGAAAGACTGAAAACCCTCAGTTTTGAACTAGTTGTTGATATACAGTGTAACAAAATATGTGCAATATATGTAAATTTGATTGTTCAACATAACCTCAAATTTGAGCTCGTACTGTTTCTTGGCTTTAGCTGTTTTCAGTCCTTAGAAAGAAGCTGTGTTTAACAAAACAAAATCTCATAATGTATTATTTCATAATATATTTGCAGAAAGCCTAATTTATTCAGCCCCTCGTCAAGATGTTACATGGGTAACAACATCAAGTACTAGTATACATCAACTAAGAATATCAACCAACCACGTGCACTGTCACGAGACAGACAAACAACAACAGACAATTTTTGCACGTATTTGAACAATATTAGTATTATTAGTATTAATGATAAGCTGACACAGGTAAAACAATAAAGGAGAAATCCAAAATCCAATAAAAATTACACGATTGAAATGATTAAGTCGTTGATAGAGGGCGCTTAACACCGGCATGTATATTCACAACATTCAACGCGGTATGGCAACGGCGTTTTGAAATTGATCCACTCAAAACAGCGGTGTTACAAACGCCGGTGCAACTTCAGATTTTTTCACACGTTCTTAAACGCCGTTGTCTGACAGTCGCCGATGTGGCACAGTCTTATTTCACCCAGTGAGAACAAGTCTATACATTGGTGCGTGCATACTAAAGCAATATAGTTCTATGAGATAACCCTGCTCCGTTCTGTGATGTAGCCCCGTTCTGTGATGTAGCCCCGCTCCATTCTGTGATGTAACCCCGCTCCGTTCTAAGATGTAACCCCGCTCCGTTCTAAGATGTAGCCCCGCTCCGTTCTGTGATGTAGCCCCCCGCTCCGTTCTGTGATGTAGCCCCCCGATCGTTCTGTGATGTAGCCCCGCTCCGTTCTGTGATGTAACCCCGCTCCGTTCTGTGATATAGCCCCTCTCCGTTCTAAGATGTAGCCCCCCGCTCCGTTCTGTGATGTAGCCCCGCTCCGTTCTGTGATGTAACTCCGTTCTGTGATGTAGCCCCTCGAGGATTAACATTATCTGAAGTTTGGTATCACAGAAGTTGTGCAAGTTTGTATTTTCACAGAAATGCCTTGACATTTTGAAAAATATAAGAATGATATGCAACCGATCACCAATTTTCAACAGTGTTCATCAGCACTCGTAACTGGGTTGGATAAAATATTATTTATTTTTTGTATTTTGTGATTTTTAGGGCTTGCTAGGGGGGAATAAATAAATATTATATGTGCTTGCACTACAATTCCAACTGTTTCAAGTCTTTAATCTAAATTATTCAGGGCAAAAATAAGGACCGAGAAATATTTGTTCAGCCTCATAAATTCTCATGTATTGACTTCAACATTCAAACATATTTGCTCGTATTTCACTAATTGAATATACTATACACCTAGCTTCACTGCATGAAGTAATAAGTCTACTTGAAGTCGTGAAAAGGTGCCATTACCATACTTTTTTTATAATTGTATGACTAAAACAGCTTAAATGTGAAGATGAAAAACATCTAACATCTAAACTTGTGCTGCAGTAGAAAACTTATTTTCTTTATACCAAATTCCAAACCATTGTACAAAATATAACATTGTGTACAGGTTGATTTATATGTAAAACATAGCACAACTATCAAAACCTTGCCTTTGGGGAAAAAGGCATGTAAATGGGATGGGAAATTATTGGAATATAAACTTGTGGGATTATCAAATAAAAAGCACAACAGAAACATGTATATATGCTGTCGTTTACTAATGATAATTTACAGAAAGTTTACAATAATATTTGACGGTTGAGTGTCGTTATTATGGAATATAGTACAGGGACAGAGATGGAGTCATACTACTTAATAATAATATTCATATGTTTCTCAACGTGAAATGTGAAACGCTAACACACTCGACAATTTATAATTTCATTTCACGTAATACAGTTTCAGTTGTCATTAAGCTAGGCCATCTTCTTGCCGGAATCGGGATTTTACAAAGTGTTGCACCTGTGGATACAAACAATACAAAATGTCCTGTTAACATACAACAATATATGGTGTGTGTGTGTCGTATCTTTGCTATATACACGAGTACAGCATTCTACTTGTCACTTGGTTATATTCGTGTTTTGTTTCAGTGACGTTAATTCTTTAATGTATCGCGACCTAAACTCTAGTTATTGAGTTGATTGTTGAAGAGGGGGAGTCGTCACATGCGCATGCGTCAGATGGCCATAGTGTGTCATTGTTTACAAACAAGCGTCTACCTACGAGCCTTTGCGTTTTTAGCGTGTGTTGTTGTCATATCTTGGGACTCAATTCCCGCGCGTGCGCAGGTGACGACCCTCCCGGCCCGCTTTAATATCAAATTATACAACATTTGTTTTTGTAAGTTTCTGCACTTGTACTTGCAGCATAGGAACCAGAAAAACAACATGCAAACACTGCACAAGGTATATTGTAAACCATACATGTTTCAATACAATAACATTTGATATACAAGTACAAGATACACTTTAATCTTTAATAATTATGCATACTGTATGTGACTCTTAATTACTGTACGAATGAAGAAATAACTTACGAGTTGGTGACTTCCCATGTGTTGGCAAAGTTATCGATGTCTGGCTGATCCACTGACGATATAACATCTCCACCCCTTGTTTTAATGTCGTCCTTCGAATCGTTGTTAGCACTGCCACACATTCCAACCACAGCCGAGCCCATAGAAGGTTCTATGCTGATTTCAATGCGATACTTTCCATTCCAAACTACATCGACACCAACTAAGGTGGTGATTAAGTAGCGGTCCTCTCCCCGGGTGTCATCTGTTTCCTTTATTACGTGTATGTCACTTCCCTCCCAAAAGTCATCGCTGTGCTGGATCTTTAGATTATTTTCCTACAATAAAGTAAAGACAGCCATTAGTGGCACTCACTCACTCACTATAATCACACAAATGATGGATTTTTTCTTTGTTGTTTCCAATTGATAATTTTATTTCTCGGTAGAAACTATGTTATACGACACTTTCCTACATTATAGCTATATTATTACAATAAGATCTATGTTATACGACACTTTCCTACATTATAGCTATATTATTACAATAAGATCGTTCAAAATTCATATGTAAACAATTAATGCATTTTCAATACTAGACCAAATACGACGGAAGTTTACGGCGCAGTATGTTACTATATGTCGTAAGCTAATATTCCGATAATATGTCAGACAGTTTTCTATTTCTCTTATTTGTTTTAAATTATTTTTATAACTTATTGTTCAGTCTTTTCAATGTATGATTAAATGGAAACTGTCGTCGTCACTGCGCATGTGCGTAAAAGAGGCTCTCAATGCGAATGATTACATAGTGAGCAGTTTTAGAGAGCTGGTGAAAACCTACAGGAAATTATGTGCTTGATCTCTCATAGTTGAATGATCTTTGTGATTATGATTATGATTATGATCAGAGGTGGCGACACAAAATTTTGCATGGGAGGGGGAGATCTGCTCACCAACCTTGCAGCGAAGGCGCGACCTTACTAGGGGGTCCGGGGCATGTTCCCCCTTAAACATTTAACAATCTAGATCATCTGAAACGCCATTCCCTGCATTATGCGTGGTAAATTTTGCTGACACAAAGGGTTTCAGCTTGATTTTGGAGGGGCGACGCCCCCAACATTTTTTTCAGAGGGTCGACAGCCTCCTCTGCCTCCTTGTGCCGCCGCCATTAATGATGTACTAGTTACGATTGTTAACTACATGTAACTACGTCGTCGGGCTTTACGTCGAGATAAGTGTCGGAACCTATGTCAATTGTGACAAGACATGTGTCAAGATCTACGTGTGGTGTACGTCGAGATATGTGTCGGAACCTATGTCAATTGTGACAAGACATGTGTCAAGATCTACGTGTGGTGTACGTCGGGCTTTACGTCGAGACATGCGTCAGAACCTACTAGTATGTCAATTGTGGCAAGACATGTGTCAAGATCTACGTGTGGTGTATGTCGGGCTTTAAGTCGAGACATGCGTCGGAACCTATGTCAATTGTGACAAGACATGTGTCAAGATCTAGTGTGGTGTACGTCGGGCTTTACGTCGAGACATGCGTCAGAACCTACTAGTATGTCAATTGTGGCAAGACATGTGTCAAGATCTACGTGTGGTGTACGTCGGGCTTTACGTCGAGACATGCGTCAGAACCTACCAGTATGTCAATTGTGGCAAGACATGTGTCAAGATCTACGTGTGGTATACGTCGGGCTGTACGTCGAGACATGCGTCAGAACCTACTAGTATGTCAATTGTGGCAAGACATGTGTCAAGATCTACGTGTGGTGTACATCGGGCTTTACGTCGAGATATGTGTCGGAACCTATGTCAATTGTGACAAGACATGTGCCAAGATCTACGTGTGGTGTACGTCGGGCTTTACGTCGAGACATGCGTCAGAACCTACTAGTATGTCAATTGTGGCAAGACATGTGTCAAGATCTACGTGTGGTATACGTCGGGCTGTACGTCGAGACATGAGTTGGAACATATGTCAATTGTAACAAGACATGTGTCAAGATCTACGTGTGGTATACGTCGGGCTGTACGTAGAGACATGAGTCGGAACCTATGTCAATTGTGGCAAGACATGTGTCAAGATCTACGTGTGGTATACGTTGGGCTGTACGTCGAGACATGAGTCGGAAACTATGTCAATTGTGACAAGACATGTGTCAAGATCTATGTGTGGTATACGTCGGGCTGTACGTCGAGACATGAGTCGGAATCTATGTCAATTGTGACAAGACATGTGTCAAGATCTGCGTGTGGTGTACGTCGGGCTTTACATCGAGAGATGCGTCGGAACCTATGTCAATTGTAGCAAGACATGTGCCAAGATCTACGTGTGGTGTATGTCGGGCTTTAAGTCGAGACATGCGTCGGAACTTATGTCAATTGTGACAAGACATGTGCCAAGATCTACGTGTGGTGTACGTCGGGCTTTACGTCGAGACATGCGTCAGAACCTACTAGTATGTCAATTGTGGCAAGACATGTGTCAAGATCTACGTGTGGTGTACGTCGGGCTTTACGTCGAGACATGCGTCAGAACCTACTAGTATGTCAATTGTGGCAAGACATGTGTCAAGATCTACGTGTGGTATACGTCGGGCTGTACGTCGAGACATGCGTCGGAACCTATGTCAATTGTGACAAGACATGTGCCAAGATCTACGTGTGGTGTACGTCGGGCTTTACGTCGAGACATGCGTCAGAACCTACTAGTATGTCAATTGTGGCAAGACATGTGTCAAGATC